ATGTTTTTCCCTTCATTTTTTCATGTTTGTTCTTTTTAGATATTAGAGTCCATTTTTTTTCCCTTGATCATAAAAAATGAACCGTTTTGTACTAAATGTGATGTGATAATATAAATGAACTGAACTGAACTTCCCAACCATGAATCATATATGAGTTCATCTTCACATTCTCATCCATAATTTATTTTTTCATACATGATACCTGTTTAATATTAATATTTGTGACTGTTTCTTTGCTATATTCTAAATTTCATTTTTCCATGCTTTGCTACAGATGTATGGAGGACTTGGTAAGCACCACACGATATGTTTCATGGTCTCTCCACAATAAGGTATTCTTGATTTAAGGTGCATTTACAGAGACTGATGCTTTAGCATGCTGCATTTTAAAATGATCTTGCTCCTACTTTGAATTTAAGCTAGGCTTGTATGATTATATCCACTTAAACTCAGAGAAAATGAATAAAATATTAGTTGCCAAGTTAAGTTTACATGGCTAATTTTATATCTCATTCTGGTGTCACTGTGAACTTCGTAGAGTCGGGCTGGGTTACGTCAGTTCTTAGATTCATTTGGTGGAACAGAACATTCCAATGCTTGTAATAATCCTACAGCAACTGCTCTATCACAAACAAGTGCACATGAGAAAGAAGAAGCAAAGTCACAACCGGATGTAAAACTCAGCCATGTGGCCTCTGGCACTGATTCTAGTTCATCCATTCAGACAACAGAAACAAAGCTTGCTGACCTTCTGGATAGTACTCTCTGGAATAGGAGGCTTGCACCTTCATCTGAAAGGATAGTTTATGGCTTGGTACAACAGATATTTCATGGAATTAGAGAATATTTCTTGGTTTCCACAGAATTGAAGGTCTGTGATGCTTCTTTTTTGTTCATTTATGCATCTTTGTGTTTGGTCTGTGAATTTCATCCTTTCCTGCTTGAAGTAAAATAGATTAAGCACAGAAAAGAAGGGTTGATTGTCTGGGTTTATGTACATACAAACGCTACAATATTTGCTGAAATTTTCGGATGTTTTGAAATATTTTTTGGTCAAAGAGGTGCCCTCTGCTTTTACAACAAGACATTGACATTATAAGAGAAAATTGTAGCTCTTTGAAACTAAAGCCATCTTAAATTGATTGTGGTTGAGGTTTTTTTTTAAAATTTTTTTTTATAAAGAATTGAGGTTACAAAAATTGGTGTGTTTTGGAAATAAGTTTTAAGATTGAGTTTAGAATAATCCGATAATCCATTTTGTTTGGAGTGTAAATTGTGAAGTATAAATATAGGTATGTAATTGAAAATATATTTGATGATTCTTCCAATAATTCCAATACTTAACAAAAATTTAATTTGCATCAACATCAGATATTGTAAAAAAAGTTTTTTTTCCTCTCATTTAGCACTTGTATTTTGTAATTTCTCAAAGGATGATCAGTACACGGGCTAAACATTTCATGTACACATGGAAAGCAGCCTACAGCACAAGGTTGCAAGTTAGTTATTATTTGTTAGTTAGACACCTTGTTTACCTGAATTTTTCTTTTCATTCTTTCATGTTTGTTGTTCAGGTTGATTACAACTAATACTACAAGAAAATATGTCAAGACACTAACAATGCATTAATTTGGGGCTACTAATTATCATGATAAAAATCATAAATAATTTAGAATTCCGCCCCATTTTTTTCTTCTATCTTTTATTGACTGCTTATACCTAATATTTTGCAGTTCAACTGTTTCCTTTTGATGCCCATTGTGGACAAGTTGCCTGCACTTCTCCGGGAAGACCTGGAATCTGCTTTTCAAGATGACCTGGATAATGTTTTTGACATGACCAATCTGCAGCACTCATTTGGGCAGCAAAAGAGAGATACAGAAATTGAACTGAAAAGGGTATTCATAATTCATATAAATGGTTTTCTGACGAACAATTTCCTGAGATGCCAACTGTATCTTTGTTATTCATAATGTTATCTTTTTTATGGTTTTGCAGATCAAGAGGCTCAAAGAGAAATTCAGAATGATACACGAGCAGCTAATTGTAAATCGAGCCATGTGAATATGTGAGCTTCTGGCACTGCTGAGTACAATTTTCAAATCAAATAGGCATGTGATTTACAGATTTTATGAATTTTCATTTTTCCTATGTTTGTGCTTACCTAATGGCTTATCATAGAAGAGGGATGAATAGATGTTCATTATGAGGACTCTACTGTAGTTAACAAAATCTTTTTTCCTCATGGTTTCTCAAGTCAGTTCCTGTGCTTCTAGAATACATTGGGTGTTTGAACATTCTTTTTTTATTCTTGCATGTTACACATACAGATATTTGGTTGTTTAGAGTTCCAAGATAATTTGAATATGTCTACAAGTTAAAAGAAGCAAATTACACTGGATTAGCACATGTCGAGTTAAATCAATAATCATGGCATGTATGCTGTTGATTCTGAACTCTGGCCCTAAACTAGGTCGTGTAACATATATTTCCAAGATATCAGATACATCGGGCTTTGTAAGTGGTGGAGGCTGTATATCGTCATTTGCTTTTCTAGCCTTAAAGTTCTGGTAGGTATGTGAGTATTGTAGTAGCATGTGATGAACTGTTATGCTACTTCAACCTTCTGTAGCTGTAGTGCACAAACCTGGATAATGGATTTGAAAATGAAAGCTTTACTGTCTCCTCATGATGCTGAAGTTAGGAAATATGGCAACTTCGGTTATACTACATTATGCTTGAATGGCATTGGGTTTGGAGAAACAAATTAGACTAGTGATAGATGTACCGAGAGCAATCTTGGGATGAAGTTTTCCAATGCTTCTGATGATGGCTGCAGATGGGTTCTGGCATTGGGTCCAACCCCAATGGCATAGGGAGATGCACCGATTAACATAATTATTACTAATAACAACAAATATGTTAATGTAATTATTAAGGTAGTGAAAAACTTTGGTTGAATGTGGATGCAGCGGTAGCATCATCAAGGATTTAGAGGAATGAGAAAAACTCAAATCCACCTCTTGAAAAGTTGGCACAGAAATGGTGGCCAGTTCAAGCGAAAACAAGGGACCAACCACCAACTTCTCCTAGATTTACATTTGTTGTGCAAGGGATTTTTCTCATTGTGTGTGCATGAAGGAGCATATTTTGAGAATTTTTTTTTCATTGTTTTAATTTGTAGGAGGGTATTCATTCCCGATTAGTTGTTTGTTGTGAGTTTTGCTCACGATTTGTTGTTTGCGGTAGTGGCAACTTTTGCAGTATGATTTGCAGGTGTGCGATTCGCAATGGGCTTCGCGGTGCCAGTGAAGAGGCAGTGTTGAAGTTTCATAGGAACTAGGAAGAAGAAAAAAAATGCAAGTGATGGGTCGAAGGAGGCAGAAGGGCAGATTAGGAAACGAAAGGGAAAAAAAGAAAAAGATTAAAAAGAAAAATCTATACCTTAATCTATAACATATATATAACACGATAATTTAATTACGTGTACATAATTTATTTTTAAAATTTTTAAATAATAAAAAATAATATTAAAATTTTATTATTTTTATAAATATAAAATTTGAATTTAATATTTTAATGATATGTTTAAATGAGAAATTTTATAATATCATGAAAAAATTAACTTTAGTTTTTTTATTATTTTATATATCAAATGAACCGTTCATTATTTAATGAGTAGTAACTAAATATCCAAATTATATATATATATATA